GCGGCGCCGCTGGGCTCTGCGTCGGCGGCCTCCGTGCTCTTGGCCGCCTTCTTGGCGTTGCGGTCGGCCTGCTTGCCGCCCATGGCTTCGGCCGCGCGCTTGCGGGCGGGCGCGGGAGGGCCGGCGGGGCGCAGAGGGAAATCCTTAGCCAAAATGGCTCGAGGCCCCAATGGTCGGCAAGTTGAGGAGGAGAGCCTTGGGACAAGCGCTGGACCCTGTGTCGCGGTGCCTCCGGCGCAGCCCTTGGCGAGGAGAGGGCTCCAGCGCCAGCCCGAGAAGTCCGAGCGGACCTCCTAGAGTTGAGGCCCAACCTGCTTCCTGTCACTCGAGGGGAGGAGGGCGAGGAGGAGGAGGAAGAAGAGCAGGAGCAGCAGGAGGAGAAACGGTACACCTCCTCTTCCTGAGGGTCTTTTCCTCCCTCCTTCTCCGTCCTCCTCCTCCGCCTCCTTAAGGAGTCGACCCCTGGGTCTCTCACCGGGCGCGCTCCGACCAGACTTCCGCGGCGAATCCAGCCGCAGCGACGAGAAGCCTCCTGGAGGCACCAAGCCATCTCTCAGCGTCGGTGGCGCCGAGGCCCGGCGCGAGGCTCAGCCTCTGGCGGCCCCCCTTGGAGGGGAGGGGGGGAAGAGCAGGCTGGCAGGAGTGAGACGAGGATGCCGAGGAGGACTCGAGCGCTTGGCTCTGGGAGGCGGTCTGCCCTTCTCGAAGCGAGCAGCACCTACAGGAAAATGAACGAGGAAGAAGGGCATGGCAGCGCGGCGGCGGCCACAACGCGGTCAACTAAAGTTCACCCTCGAACGCGAGCCCCAGCATCTGGACATCACCCGGGCGCCGACTGTCTGACAGAAGATTGCGGCGATGGCAAGTGATAGAAGACTGGAACTTGCTCAGACTAATATATACCAAGTAAACCGCATTGGCAGCAGAGTTAGCACAGCATGTCCTGCAAGATTTACTATTGTTTTGCACCGCCATGCCCACGCCTGCCTCGACCCTTAAAAGAGACAAACCAGCGTATGCATGTTGCGCCACTATGGAAGATGCTGTAAATCGAGACCTTGGCCATCCCCAGATGCAAACTATTGGCCACCGATCTGCGATGCAAAACTACGCCGTGCCCCTCCTCACTTACCCGCTGGCCGGACTGCGTACGCATGGTACAGCACAATCAATGGCACGAATGGCTTCTCGATGAAGTACGTGCAGTAGACCAGCTCCCAAAGAAAAAACAGCCACACCAGCGAGTGGATCGCCATGGTGCCCGCCACGCGGAACTTCACCGGACACTGATCGATGGGGACCTGAGGGAGCTGGGGGATACCGTCCAGAGGCACAACCAGCGACACGACCTGGTAGAAGAGCAGCCAGGGCAGGCAGGCGAACCAGGAGCGGAAGAGGAAGGCGCGCAGCGTCATCTGGGCCAGGAGGACGTGGAGGTACTGCGGCATGTTGTTGGTGAGGTTGGTCATGACGCGATCCGCTATGGGCGTGCCCCTCTTCTTCGCCCTGGGGCCCCAGTCCAACTCCAGCCCCTTCAGGTCGAGCCACCCCTGCTTGCAGGCCTCGACGCCCTTGGGCTCGGCGAGGCCGAGGACGTTGAAGAGCGACAGCTCGTCGCCAATGGACGTGAAGAGCTCCAGGGCCCTGTCCCCGACCGAGGCCTTCGGCGCCGTCTCGCCGCTGCCGTTGCCCCCGCCGTTCTCGTCGGTCTCTCCCTCCTTGGGCTTCTCGCTCTCCTCCTTGGGCTTCTCGGCGTGGCCGTCGGTGGCGCCGCCGTCGGGGCTCAGGAGCTCCTGCAGCTGCGGCAGCACCCTGGCGGCGCAGGAGCCCAGGAGCAGGCCCTTCGCGGTCTCCAGCAGCTCCGACGGGCTGGCGGCGCCGCTGGGCTCTGCGTCGGCGGCCTCCGTGCTCTTGGCCGCCTTCTTGGCGTTGCGGTCGGCCTGCTTGCCGCCCATGGCTTCGGCCGCGCGCTTGCGGGCGGGCGCGGGAGGGCCGGCGGGGCGCAGAGGGAGGTCGAAGCGAGGAGGGTGGCTTCATTGAAAGAGGGCAGACGGCAGCGAACGGAGGGACGGTGCGCGCATTCCTGCGGAGGTGCTCCTGGAAGCACCACTGGCACGACCCGGTGCAATCCAGCATTCTGGCACACGGCCCAGGCGATGGTCAAGAGACAGCTAACAGCACAAACGAACAAGAAAATGGAGCACACGCACACAGACACTCAGACAAACACACACCCACACACACACACGCGCGCGCGCACGCACGCACGCACGCACGCCCGCACACACACACACACACACACACACACACACATACACGCACACGCACACACACACACACACACACACGCACACACACACACATACACACACACACGCACACGCACACACACACACACACCGACACACACACACACACACACACACACACACACACCGACACCGCACACACACACACACACACACACACACACACACACACACACACACACACACACACATGGCTGACATGCATGCAGAACACGCGGAGGCCAGTTGGTGGATGCGCATGCGGAGGGCCAGCGCACCCGTCCACGAGATGACCGAGCGCTGCATAGACATGCAGCTTGTGAATGCAGTTCTTGCCCAAGCAGGCCGCATCATGCCGATCCAGCTCACTGTTATGCCAACTTCCCAGCTAAACCTACGTAAACGCTGGGCCAGCTTGGCGAACAAAGCCCAGTGAGTCTACAGGAGACCGAGGAACGGAGCGCTCTACTCATGGCTGCGGCGGCGGAGGAAGGCTTCTGAAAGACAGGCTCGAGCGTATTTGTTGCGTGTCGGCCAGAGCAGCCTTCGAAGGGGCTGAAGAAGGCACGGTGTTCTGTCTCGGCTCCAGTCTCGAGGTTCTATTCAAGCCGTTCTTGGATTCTCGTCGGCCTGCCTGAGTGGGCTGACTGACTGACTGACTGACTGACTGACTCGTGGCTGACAGTAAATTTTCCTTGCAGCCATCCTTTCCTGCCCCGCCCCACGGCTTGACCCGGCGGGGCGGGGGGGCGCATTCGGGAAAAGGTGAGAGCGAGGGGAAGACGGGGTGGGGGAAGCACCAGCGCGGGCACTTCATATTACAGAGAGGAGAGAAGGAGGGAGCGCCTGGACAGCATGGGCTCCTCGGCTCCCTCTCCCCGAGTCTCCCTGATCCCCCCTCGGGGTCGGCGGAACATGGCCGCGAGGCCGCTCCTCCAGTAGGCGCAAAACTGCACTCCGGCACCTATCGGTCCTGCGGACCTCACTGGGGCTGTGCACACCACCTGCATCAAACAGCGACGCTCTTGCATTGGGGGCGTTTCCTGCGTCGCGGCGCGGCAGAGACAGTCCGCACGCGCGCTCGGGCAAGCCGGGCGGCGGCATCGCGAATTGTCCAGCAGCATGCGCGGGAAAACAAACGTGAGGACAGCGGTCGCGGGCAGTGGGGAGGGGTGAGAACGCTCGCGCTGCGGGACACGCGACGGCGCGCATTGCACAAATGTGACCTGCAGATGGCGTCGGCATCTTTGCGTAGTGCAGGGGACTGGGACGAGAGGAGCGACCCTCTTCCTCCTCGCCGCCCTCCTCTTCCTCCCCCTCCTCCTCCTCCTCCTTCTCCTCCTCCTCCTCCGATCCTCCTCCTGCTCCTCCTACTCCTCCTTCTCCTCCTCCTCCTCCAACTGCTCCTCCTCCTCCTCCTCCTCGCCCTCCTCCTCCTCCTTCTCTCCTCCTCCTCGCCCTTCCTCCTCCCTCCTCTCCTCCTTCCTCATTCCTCCTCCTCTCCTCCTCCTCCTCCTCCTCCTCCTCCTCCTCCTCCTCCCTCCTCCCTCCTCCTCTCCTCCTTCCTCCTCCCTCCTCCTCCTCCTCTCCTCCTCCTCCTGTCCTCCTCCTCCATCCTCCTCCTCCTCCTCCTCCTCCTCCTCCTCCTCCTCCTCCTCCTCCTTCCTCCTCCTCCTCCTCCCCTCCTCCTCCTCCTCCCCCCCCCCCCCCCCTTTTTCTCCTCCTCCTCCCTTTGTCCTCCTCCGCCCTCGTCCCTCTTCACCCTCTTTCCTCTGCCCTTCTTCTCCTCGCTCCTCCTGCTCCTCCTCTCCTCCTCCCTCATCTTCCTCTCCTCCTCCTCCTCCTCCGCCTCCTCCTCCTCCTCCTCCTCCTCCTCCCTCCTCCTCCTCCTCCTCCTCCTCCCCTCCTCATCCCGCCCTCCTCCTCCTCCTCCTCCTCCTCCTCCTCCTCCCCTCCTCGCGCCTCATCCTCCTCCTCCTCCTCCTCCTCCTCCTCCTCCTCCTCCTCCTCCCCCTCCCCTCCTCAAGAATTTCGCACCAACAGCTGATCGAGAGATACTTCCCGATGTATCCTAAATTGGGGGGGGATCCTTGTCAATGTGACGCCACCACCCCCGACCCGTCACCCTCGAGCCTCCTCCTCCCTCCTCCCCCCTCCCTCCTCCCCCCTCCCTCCCTGCCCCCTCCCCCCCGTCCGTCTTGGCTCCCGACGTCGGAGGCCCGCCCCTCTGACAGGAGATCCTCGGACTCTCCGAGTGCCACCGCATGCTGGACTCGGCCGCTCTGCCCAAGCAGCACCCGTGCTCCGCGGGGCTCGGCGCTCTGCCCAGGCTGCACGGCTGCCGCACCCGCGCCCGCACCCCTCTGTCCGTCGGAGGCCCTCCGCGTCACACCGCGGCGGTCACTGACCACTGGCGGCAAGCCACTGGCGGGGGGGAAGAGAGACGGCGATCGATCGTCTCGAGCCCGAGCGGCCGCATACACACACACACACACACACACACACTCACACACACACACACACACACAGTGGGTCTCGGTGCGGCGTCGGCTGGGCGGAGCACCGGAGCCGCAGAGCACGAGAGAACGGAGTGCACCGCTCAATGTTCCGATCCAGAGGGACGGCGCAGAAAAGGCGGCGGCAGAGGGCGAGAGCACCCGCGCCGCGCACGCCGCGCTGCCCCGAGAGGCCCCGAGGGGACCCCTGGGCCGCCTTGGGCTGGACCAGGGACTTCCAGGAGTGGACGAGGGCGCGGCTGCGGTCCTGAGCCGGGGGAGGGGGTCCGCGGGGGCGGCGGGGCATCTCCCGCCCGGCCCTCCGCCGGCCCAGCAGGCGCTGAGCCCGAGCCTGGCCCGCCTCCTCGCCGCCCGCCGCCATACCTGCCCTCAGGGGGGCCCGACCTCCAGTGGTTGGGCGGCCTTTCCTGACTCTTGGGCCTCTGGAGGCCACTTTCGGGCGACAGGAGCATCAAACATCGGCCTGGGAGGAAGACCGTCCACGGGGGAGGGGTCGAGAGGTCTGTGGAGCCGCATGTTGAAATACAGCTACGTCGGAGGTCTAGGAAGCAGGATGATGAGAAGAATTGAGAAGGAGGAGAAGGAGGAAGGAAGGCCTTTGGAGGGCTTGTGGAGGTGGCTTCAAAACGGTTCAGGCACATCATCCTCCTCCTTTCCTCCACCACCTCCTCCTCCTCCTCCTCCTCGTCCTCGTCCTCCTCCTCCTCCTCCTCCTCCTCCTCCTCCTCCTCCTCCTCCTCCTCCTCATTATCATCATCGTCATCATCATCAGCAGCAGCGGCATCAGCGGCATCAGCATCAGCATCAGCACAAGTATCAGCATCAGCATCATCATCAGCATCATCAGCATCATCACCAGCATCATCATCATCATCATCATCATCATCATCATCATCAATATCCTATCCCGACTCTGTCGGTCCTCATCCGCATCCTCCGCCTCCTGGACCTCATCCTCCTCATCATCTTCCTCCAAGTCATCATCATCATCAGCAGCAACATCATCAGAATCATCATAATCGGCATCATAATCAGCATCATCATCAGCAGCAGCAGCATCGTCATCATCATCATCATCATCATCATCAGCATCATCATCATCTGTATCACCATCAGCAGCATCAGCATCATCAGCAGCAGCATCCTCATCAGCAGCATCAGCATCATCATCAGCAGCATCATCATTAGCAGCAGCAGCAGCATCAGCATCAGCATCAGCATCATCATCACAAGCGTCATCAGCATCAACACAAACAATAACAGCATCATCATCACCACCATCATCATCAACATCATCAGCATCATCATCGTCGTTATCGTCATCATCATCAGCAGCATCATCATCATCATTACCGCAATCATCATACTGGAATCATCATCAGCATCATCATCAGCATCATCATCAGCATCAGCATCAGCATCACCAGCAGCAGCATCATCAGCAGCAGCTTCATCAGCATCCGCATCATTACCAACACCATCAATAACATCATCATCATCAGCATCGTCATCATCATCATCAGCATCATCATCATATGTATCATCATCGTCGCCATTGCCATCATCATAATCATCATCGCCGTCGTCAACAACAACAAAATCACCATCACCTGCATCCGCATCAAAATCCGTATCATCATTAGCAACAGCATCAGCATCATCAGCATCGTCATCGTCACCATCATCATCACCATCAGCATCGTCATCATCAGCATCAATAGCATCATCGTCATCAGCATTATCCTAGTCATCCTGCTCACCATCAGCATGTCAACATCACCCTAGTATTTCTCCTAATCCTCATCAATCAGAGGCATCATCATCATCATCGTCATCACCATTGTCATCCTCATCATTATCGTAATCTGCATCAGCAGCATCAGCATCATCGTCAATGTCAGTAGCAGCAGCATCAACGCCATCGTCATAATCAGCATTAGCAGCAGCAGCATCGTCAACAACAGCAACGTCCTCAAGCTCATCATCATCCTCATACTCATACTGATCATCTTCTGTCTGTCCGCCTTGTCTCCCTCTTCCTGGTCCTCCTCCTCCTCCTTTTCAACATAATCATCCTCATCTTGATCACCTTCCTCCCCCTCCCCCTCCCCATCCTCCTCCTCCTCCTCCTCCTTCTCCTCTTTCTCCTCCTCCACCTGCTCCTTCTCCTCCTCCTCCTCCTCCTCCTCCTCCTCCTCCTCCTCCTCCTGCTCCTCCTCCTCCTGCTCCTCCTCCTCCTCCTCCTCCTCCTCCTCCTCCTTATGTTTCTCCTTTTACTTCGCCATGGGACGGCGGGCAAGGAAGGGGAGGGAAGGGGACGGGTGGGGCTGGGAAGAGGAGGAGGGGAGGGGAGGGAAGGGGAGGGAAGGCGAGGGAAGGGGAGGGGAGAGGAGGAGGGGACTGCTGGGCAAGGGGGGCGGGGAAGGGGACGAGATACCTCCTCCAGGGGTGCCAAAAGTGTTGGGGAATTCTCGACAACTCGATGCTGGAGCTTCGATCATCCTTAGAGGAGACAAGGGGGAGAGGAAGGAAAAGGAGGAGGGGAGAGGTGGGGGAGGCGGGAAGCGACGGCGGGCGGGCCCAGACGCCACTATCCCGCAGGAATGCTGCACCTGCATCCTCCTGCGAGGAGGCTGAGGGAAAAGAGCATGACACATCACAGTGTGAAGCAATCGCCCCACCACCCACCCACACGCAAACACCACCCACCCACCCGCACACACACCCACCCACCCACTCACCCACCCAACCCCAATCCCACTCACCCAAAGAAAGTAAGAGCACTACTAGCGCACCAAGAACGTAACAGTTTCGACACCGAACGTGACATCAGAGCATTGGTGCGGTGCTGCACGCAGGTGTGGAAGGGAAGGGAGCACACGAGCAGTGGAAGGTCAGGCTAAGCAACACGAAGATTCCTCCGAGAACTAGGATCCACTGATAAATCAATGGTGGCAGAGGCCGAAGATGCCACAACCAGGAGCGATGGAAAACCAAAACGGGGACGGAAGACGCGCAAGTTGGAGAATCGCTCCAAGCCCGTTTGCGAGTCCAACGAGTGCGGATGGGGAATGCGACAGCCGCGCAGTCGAAGAGGTGACCGGGCCAACACAAAATCTAAGGGCTGGGACAAGATCCTCCTCCACATCCTCCTCCTCCTCCTCCTCCACCTCCTCCTCTTCCTCATCCTCCCCGTCCTCCTCCTCCTCCTCCTCCTCCTCCTCCTCCTCCTCCTCCTCCTCCTCCTCCTCCTCCTCCTCCTCCTGGGACAAACACTGAGCGGCATCCAGTACCGATTCTAAGCCTGATCCATCTCGGACCAGATCATCCAAAGCACCAGAGCACTCTGCCGATCCGCGGATCGTCGTGTGGAGAAGGAGAAGGACAAGGAGGGGGGGGGAATTCTCGGGCGAAGAACGGTATCAACTAAACTTTTCCGCTACCTGGGGTCAGGTTCGGCAATAGCGACTACAGGCGGTCCACCGCCATATCGGGCGAAGAAACTCAAACTCAAAAATAATCAAGACAAACTCTAAGCCAAAACCTGCGGAAATCTCAAACTCGACAAAACACTTCACAACATCTCTAAACCAAAACCTGCGAAAATCTCAAACTCGTTAAAAACAAATATAAGCCCAAAACTGAGAAATCTCAGGCTCTAAAGAAACTTCACACAATATCTAATACAAAACCTGCGGACATCTCAAACTCGAAGAAGAAAACTCCAAGAAAACTCTAAGCCGAAACCTGGGGACATCTCAAACCTAAAAACATTGAATCCAGAACTCTAAACAAACTCTAAAAACTCTGCAAAATGTTAACAACACAAAAAACTCCAAACAAGTCTAATACATATTAGATATACTATAGGTACATACATCAACATATATAACTTTGGAAAACTCTATAAACTATGGACAAATGTCTGACCGCCTGGCGAACTCAACAAAAAACTCTGGAAACAAATGCGAAGGAAACTCGAAAGGCAAACCCAGGCTGAAAGTTTGAGATTTTCGCAGGTTTTGGTTCAGAGTTTGTTGGAAGTTGTTTTTGAGTTTGATAGTATTGCAGGTTTAGGCTTAGAGATGTTTTGG